CCGAAGCTCCGGGACCACTTCTCTCTAAAAAAAAAAAACTAAAAAATATTTCCCCGCAGTATTTTTTTTTCCCCTCAGCGTCAGGGAAAGGAAAACCAGCCCCGCTCCTGCATTTTGTGCACGGGAGAAGAAATAATAAATAAAACTGCCGCGTTTTGATCAGATGTTCCCTTGATCTGCCGTCGCTACTGCTGGAGCTCAACCCGCTTTTTTAGTATCCCCCAAATAAGTTTATCGTTATGCAGTTATGTCCGTGCAATATGAGATACTAGAAATCGTAAAATCTTACGTTAATCCATGTGATTCGGGACTGCCACTGCTGCAAAGGAGCATTTTATTTGCTCGAGGTTTTGTCCGGCTTCACTTTGGAGAAGTGACCTGTTATAAACCCCACTACCTATATAGGCGGCTTTGCATTCGCTAAGGAAATTCAAAAACCGTCCGAGCATCTTCTTCAAACGACTCGTCTCCTTTCCCTAAATCTCCGCGGATCGGGACGTGTCTTATGCTAGGTTAATAACAAAAATGCACTGTCATCAGGATAATCCCATGGAGAATATAAATTTGGATGCTGCACGCAGGTTTTTGCAGCGTATCACAGGAAAATCAGCGGCATTCATTGTGTAAAAAATTACACTATTGTTTTTGGAAGAACCTTATATTAGACATTCAGGTTTTCTATGTAGATTTATTATGTGTATTTATTAAAAAGGAAAATGAGAAGCAAGCAAGGGATACGGCTGTGTCTAAACACACAAACAAAACCCAAACAAACATACAAAATACCCCCCAAATTACTTAGCGATTGCCGAGAGTGATTAAAGAAAGCGGTCGAAATTGTAACTGTGGTGTTTTTTTGGTTTTTTTTTTCCCTTTCTTTTCTTCTCTTGCAGGACGGCCCCGCTGCCCCCGGCTGCAGGTACAGTCTTTGCTTTCCTTCCAAACTCTCTTCCCAATCCCAGCTCCAGGCATTTAGTTCTCACTTTGCAATAATCGAGCTTTGCTTTGGCTGCGCTCCGTCTTGCACCTCAGTCCCTCCCCCGGTCGCTGCCCCGGGAGTAGGAATATATATATATATATATATATATATGTGTGTGTGTGTGTGTGTGTGTGTGTGTATGTATATACACATGTATATATGTATATACACATGTATGTATGTATATACACATGTATATACACACACACACACATATATATATGTATATACTTAATAGCAGTTTTCGGAGGAGCAGGTTTTAATAGCAATGCTGTCGCAGCTACCGTGACCAAGGGGAGTCAAGGGGGAGACCCCAGGGAGGAAGGAAGGAAGGAAGGAAGGAAGGAAGGAAGGAAGGAAGGAAGGAAGGAAGGAAGGAAGGAAGGAAGGAAGGAAGGAAGGAAGGAAGNGAAGGAAGGAAGGAAGGAAGGAAGGAAGGAAGGAAGGAAGGAAGGAAGGAAGGAAGGAAGGAAGGAAGGAAGGAAGGAAGGAAGGAAGGGAATTTTGGGAAAAGATCTAGGAAGGGATTTGGAGCGGCTGCCGGGGAGACAGGAGAGATCCCCCTCCACGGCTGTCCAGTAGCCTACAAGGGAATGAGTCCGAGATACCCTCGAGGAAAAAAAATCCCACGTTTTTAGGGGATTGAGAGCCACCTTTGCCGGCAGAAAAGCAATGCGGGAGCCCGAGCTGTTCTGTAAACCGCGGTCATTTCCCCGTGCAGAAATGCAAGGGAAAAGGTGGGGAGAAAGAAAAAAAACCACACACACAAAGAAACAAACAAACAAAAAAAGATGAGAGACAACAGAAAAACACAGGCAGGAGGCCACGAGGAGAGTACCGAAAATACAGAGCGGGGGATGGCCCCGTGCCCTGCTCCGGCGGAGCCTGGCAGAAGAGCGGCCAGGATTGGGGTTGAGGATTGTCCACAGCGCGGACTTCCGAGGATCCCCCTCCGGGCAGGTTCGCGGTGCAAGGGCCGAGCCCCGTCGGTGCTATTTTGCTAACACGATCCAGCTGCTTTTTTTTTTTTTTTTTTTTTTTTTTCCTCCTTCTCCGGCTCCCAAATTCCCGGGACTTGGGCACCAGGATAAACGGAAGCCCGATCCGAGGATCCTATGCTTCCCGGTGTGGGAAACGGGAAGAAAGTGCTCCGACAGGGAGGATGTGCCGGATGCACCACTGGCTGGGACCCACTGGCTGGTTCTGGGGAGGAGCCAGTAATAAATAAATAATACGAAATTGCCCCCAAACCCAGACAACCTTAATCTGGCCTATTTTTACACTAGAAAAAAAAAAAAAAAACCGCACCTCACATGGCAAAGATTTATTGAGAAATGAGGAATTTTAAGGGGAAAATAACTAATTTTTGTTTGAGGGAAAAACGTGTTATTAATTTTGATATTCTCTATATTATACAAGGGAAAATGGAAAGGCAATTAATAGAGAACCTGTGGGCTTAAAACTACAGAAATAAAATCACATTTGATTTCTGTCTGAGGTCTGAACAATATGGCCAGGCCCCTGCATCGCAGTAACGTGTGGGGAGCCCAGGAAGGGGACTCCAAGTGGAGAAGTTTTCCCGAATATTTCTGTTTTGATGTGCACAGTGTGCATGTGTGCAGGGTGCTGTACTGAGCCAGTGCTGGTACCACTGCCTGATGTGTCGGGAGGTTTTGATTTATCAAAAATTGCAGTCAAGGGAATGCATATGCATTGCTGTGCCCTGTGTGCTCCTGTAGCCTGGGTAAACTGAGATTTTCCCGGGGAGGTAGGAAATTGAGAAGGCAAGAGGAGGCTAGGGAAGATGAAGAGGCTGGGGACATGGGGTAACCGTTGTGGTCTTTATAGTGGTGGTGACGGTTGATTAGGTTGGGGCTGATGGTTTCTGGGTGTGATGGAGGTGGTGAGGGGAGTGGTGGACATGGCGGTGGTGCTCATGGTAGTGGTGGACGGCAGAGGTGGTGATGGGTGGAGGTGGTGATGGATGGAGGTGGTGATGGTGGAAGGTGGGTGGTGGTGGCAGCGATGATGGTGATGGAGATGGGGATGGTGGAGATGGGAATGGTGAGGATGGCGGTGCCAGGTGCGGTGCTTTTGTACATGCTGGTGATGGAAATGGCGGGTAACGGTCGTGGGGATGATGGTGGCCATGGCCACGGTGCCGGGAGGCGGGGGGGGTGGCGGGTACGGTGGCAATAGGCGGCAGCGATGGTGCCCGCCCGGCCCCGCCCACGCCCTTTGGTGAACCGAGCGGCGCTGCAGAGGGGCGGGATCCCGGGGAGGTGACGTCAGGCGGGGCCGAGCCAATGAGCGGCGGCGGCGAGGGCCGGGAGTGTGAAAGCATGAATGAAAAGTGCCGCGCGCCGCTCCCCCCGGCGCAGAGGCTGCGGGCAGCGGCGGGCAGCGCCCGCGCCCCGGCGGGCGCCGGGCGGCAACGAGCCCATGGGAGCCTCCGGAGGCTCCGGAGCCGGGCTCCCCAGCGGCCTGGCGCAACGCCGGGCAGGGCCGAGGCGGGAAGCGGAGCCCCGCGCTTCCCCGCAGCGTGGGACGTGCCCGGACCGGCCGCTCCGGAGGAAGCAGGGATGCAGGTGAAGGAAGGAGAGGGAGGCAGCTCTCCCGAGGGACTGACGGTTGGAGGGTTGCGGGGGCCCCTGCGAAGGAAAGGAAGGACAGAGGGCTGCGGGCTCTCCCGGGAAGGGAGGATGCGGGGCTTTGGCTTCCCCCGCTCTGAAGGAAAGAGGGTGTCCCCCACAAAGGGAGGGAGGATGCAGGTTGCTCCCCAGAAGAAGGAAGCATGCAGGGATGTGGGTCCCCTGAAGGAAGGAGGGATACAGGTAAATTGAGAGGGTTGTGGGTCCCTCCTGAAGAAAGGCGAGGGGATGCAGGTGCCCCCCCCCACCGTGGACGGAGGGATGCATATCCTCCCAAGGGTGGAGAGATGAAGATCCCCCCCCCCAAAGAAAAAAAAAAAACAGAGAAAGACAGAGAGATGCAGATAATTGTCAGGGAAGGAGGGATGTAGGTCTCTTCAAGGATGGAGAGACCCAGATCTCCCCAAAAAACAAGGATGTGGGTCTCTCATCCCCCAAGGACAGCAGGATGCAGGTGCATGCACCTCATGCACAGAGCCAGCGGGTCCTCAGCTGTGGGTAGGAATTGCTCCTTACCTCCTTCGTTCTGTGATTCTTTCTTCCCTTCCCTTCCTTTCATCATTTCCTCTGTGTTTATTCCTCTGTTCTGTTCCTTTGGATCTTGGCTGTATTCAAAGCATCACAAGTTATTATGTATTTTAACCATTTTATTTTTTGATCATTTTGTTTACAGACTGTTAATTGGTGGGGAAACGACCTTTTGGTCTTATATGTGTATTTGAAGTTACAGGAGCAAATGGGTTATTATTCTTATTCTTGGTTCGAATGTATTAATTCGATAGAGCTCGGGGTTATTAAAAATAATGTGTGCCTAATTCTCAGCACCTGCAGAACACCATTTGGTTTGCAAATGAAACAAATTCAAACTCAGCAGAAAATAGACTGCTCCTGTGTGGTCACCTTGTAATTCTGCTCAAAATTATATTTTTTGAGGGCCTAATCCTGCCTGTCCCCTTGAGGTCCAGGAGAGCTTAGCCCTGGCTTCTTTGGGTAGCAGGGGCAGGGCCACTGATATAACTGTGTGCTCCCAGTCCCGATCTCAATGCTAATATTTGCATCTCTTTTTATTTGTTTCCTCCCCTCGTTCCTTCCTTAAAAGACATATGCCACCGAATACCACTGAATAAGAAGGAGGTTGGATTTTTTTTTTTTTCCTGCTAATGCTGTAGACTTCAGGGGTTGGTTGTTATCTTTGGTTATCTAGCTGTATGAGTGGTGTCAATTCTTCATAAAGCTAGATAACCGAAAGTAAAAATAACCCCATTACACGCCTGAGGAGGATGTGGAGAAGAAAGGGAAATCATCAAAAGGAAGACAAGGAAAAGAAAAAAAAAAAAAAAGAAATGAAATGAAAAGAAGAAAGAGAAAGGAAATGAGAGGAGAAAAAAAAAAGAATTGGGGAAAAAAAAAGACAACTTTTTGAAACTGGAATTAAAACCTGAGGTAGGATTTTTTTTTTTTTAATTTAAGAATCTATGATTTTAAGAGTTTACTGATTCTGTGCATGTGAAGAAAACATCTGTCTAGAGAAAGACAAGGATGTAGCCGCTCTCTCCTCTTCTCTTCTACCGTTAACTATAACTGAATTAACAAAAACTTCCAATTAGATTATGAATTAGTTAAGTACAGGCGGCAGCCTGCAGATCCAGGATGAACTTGCACTGCGTAACGAGTCGTAGAGCATCAGGGAATCCATAAATCAATACAGATTACCATGTTGGATTATCTGTTTAATAAAGCAGCAACAGAGCAATGTTTATTAATGGTCATTTCCAAAATATGAGCATTGAATTCTATTTTTTTCTTTTTTCCTCCCATCCCTTATATGTTATATGTTTAATTTTGGTCCAAAACAAAAATAAGTAGAAGGTCAAGATTAGACAGAAGGATTTGTTGGTTTGGGGAAGGGGTTTCTTGCAGTTTCTTTGTTTTTCTTTCCTCGTAGCTCTTTCTTCTTTCTTTTTCTTTAACGCTTTGCCTATGAATATTTCTCTGAATAATGGAGTCAAGATTCCAAGATTGGGGAATTACAACAAAAACAAGAACAAAAGTTATGTATGAAACAGCGTGAGACTAACTAGGAAGCTTGTGATTTTTTGTTGTTGGTTTTTTTTTTTTTTTTTTTTTTTTTTGGTATGGTTTATCTCATCTGACTGCAAATTCATGCTGATTCTTATCCCTTTCCCTGCATTATCCCTCAATTTGCTCCATCTGGAATCTGCATTTTCTGCCTCTTCTACCTTAGAAGAGAATTGAGGGTCGAGGGTGCGGACTGGGTGCCTCGCGCTCGCTTTCGATGGTCAGACGGACTGACTTAGATGCCCTTGGCAAAATGTGGCAACCTATTTGGAAAGGTGTCTGGATGCCCCTTGGAAGAACACCAAAGCTCTCACTATAAATCGATACACTCTTTATATAACCTCAGAACAGTGTTTTCCCATTGCCTGCCCCCCAAAAATACATAATAAAAAAAATCAAATATTCAAAATTCAAAATCAGAAAAAAATCAAAATCAAAAAAGGATCATTTTTAGCATTGCAACCTCCAGTTGGGTGCGATGTAGGAAAAGAGCTGGCGTTTGAGCCTTGCTGGACCCGCTTGTGCGTTGGCTGAGCTCCTGGGGACCCTTAAAAAGAGCAAGGGATTGTGCCTGGCACCGTGGCCAAGTTGTAGTTGTGGGTGCAACTCATCTGGTTACTCAAAATTAATAAACAAGAATTTTCTCCCCTCCATCACCCTGGAATTCAGAATTAATTCCCTGTGTGGGTTCTCCCCCCACTGCAATCTCAAGAAAATACTCCCCCTTGTTTTTTTGGGATTCATTTAGGTGTTGCTATTCCTGCCTTTTTGTCTGAATTCCAGGCACCCTGCCTGGGTAGTGACCTAGGGATGTTCTTGCAAACTCTGCTTTTTATGCCCTGCCTTGTTCTCTGCCTCCTTCGGGTCGCAATGCGCTGGGTCCATGAGAACTGGGAACTCCTTGAGCTTCCGACCATCAGAAGGAAGGGAAGGTCCCGGATTGAGCCGGTGGGAACTGGAGCATCCCGCGGAGCGTGGTGTGGGATGAGCATGGGCAGCTGCCGGATTTATCCATGAGGGGTTGTCTTGGCCGCCGCCATCCCTCTGAAGGCAGGTGGTGGCCATCGGAGCCAGCTGCAGCTCCATAAATCCGGTCCAGGAGCTTTTATCCTTGGGTGTGCATCGGTGAGCTGCCATGTGCCAGTCACCATTGGCCAGGATGTCCCTTAAAGGGTGGGAAGAACACCCGGCTTTTGTCCAATGAGGGGCTGGGTGTGATGCTGTGTGATGGTCTTCGGGCTTTCTGAGGTGGCCAATCGTGCTCGGCTCCAGGGCAAAGATGGCACGGTGTTGCTCGCTGCGGGGGACAACAAAGGCGCCAGCAGGAATAGAGGAGGCTCTGAGCCAGCATTTGGGTGAAACACAAGGAAATTCAGCGCAGCCCGTGTACAGAGTGCTGACTCTCTGGTCATGGAGGTTGACCTGGTGTCCGCCAAGTCTTCCTCTGGCCTAAGCCTGTGACAGTCAAGAATCCTTCGTGTTCCTGCCTGGCAGGGAAAGAGCAGATCAAGTTGCATTGACCTCACAGTGGAAAGTTAGTCTGATTTTTCTGTTTTTTGGATGGCATTGTGGCAGGCGAGCTTTCCCCACTCTTGAAGTGGTAGCATGGCCACAAGCATGGCCTTCTCCAGAGCCTTTGGAGTTGGGATGCTCTTGCAAACAGCTTATTTCCCCCTCATGCTTTTCTCTCTTTTCTTCTCCATTTGCTCCCGAAGAGCCCGATGCCTTGGTGTGACATTGATCCAAATCGCAGCTTACACGGTGGCCGCTCAAGCTTGCTCGGCCACCCTGATTAACCCTGGTTAACACTCACTGCTGTCGGCTCCGCTTTCCCTTATGACCACGTAACTTCTGGAGACATTAGTAGGTGACAGGCCAGATGGGCTCCATGGGGAGATCCATTCGCCCCAGACTTCTCCATGGTCTAAAATGCTGTGGTTGGATGGGGGGCAAGGAGCAAACACAATGCTGATGTTTCTGTGCTCAGTCATTGAGAAGTAAACGATTCTGATGCAATTATTGAAAATGATGTAATTCAATAGGTCACCTTGGAAATGCTCCGGGAAAGACCCTGGGATCAAGCCTCTTATGGCTCCTGTCCTTAGTGCTTAGACTAGGAGTGAGGAAAGACAGCAGATCAAGCTGTTATTTAAACTAAAGTCCCTCCATGCTGCTCTCATGATATATGGGAGGCTGGGGCAAACACAGCTAATCCTGGGTTGCTTTACATTGCTAGAACTGCTTAAGAAAAAACTCTTCTGGAAATTAGATTTCTAGCTGCAATATGCTGCCCTTGTCCCATCCGTAAGGCTGGAGAATGTGCGGGGTTAAGAATAAGTCTGTAACGAAGGTGAGGGGATGGACAGACGGAGAGTCTGGGGCTGACTTGAGTAGCTCACCCATGGGTGCTGAGCTGTTTCCTCTCGTCTTTTGGTCTGAGAGTGCCGGACTCATTCCCGGTTCCTTTCAGAGAGGAATCCATTTTGCAATCTCAAAGAAATGGTGGGTTTTGGGGTGCTTTTTTGTTGTCATTTTGCTCCCATGCAAAGAGCTTTCCAGCTGTTGGCACCTACGGAGGTCCTCATGGAGCTCCCAAAAGCTGATGTGGATCCACAACCGTTGCAAGGGAATGGAGAGGAGAGAGCCCCTTTGGCTGTTTTCTCGCCCTCGCTGAGTGATTGCCTTTTCCAGGGAAAGATGCCTCCTTGCTCCACATCAGTCTTTATAGGATCAAAAAGAAAAATATTGTTTAAATCTGATGAAACCCCTCTGGGTGGCATAGCAGGTAGGATGCTCTGTGCTCCTCAGGCTACTCTCTGATGCAGCCAGGATGGGATGTGATGGTTGGAGAGGAGGAAATGCTCTCTGGGAGAGCAGAATGTCACCCTTTTATGGCATTTATGGCGTTTATGGCATTTATGGCATTCACGGTGTTTATGGTGTTTAGGGATTTCCATCTTGGAAGGCATCTTGGTGGCGGGAGGTGAAAATAAAGCAAAACCCCCAAAGGAATTTCTTGCAGTTGCTTTTGGATTTGCTTTTGTGTCGCCAGGAGTGGCGGTTCATCCCGTCCCCTATGTTCCCTATGGCTTTGTCTCCTTGGGATCCAACCCAAGCGCCGTGGCAGCGGGTCCTTGGCTCGGGTGCGTTTTCTCCCTTCTTCCTTTTGTTTTGGCTGCTGGCCTCCAAAAAACAGCCCAACTCCCCAAATTTGGACTCTCTTAAAATATATATATAGTATTTTTTCTCTTCAAAGCACCTGTTTCTGGGGAAACCTCAGCAGCAGTGAGGTTTACCACCGGAGCCGCCTCATTCCGAGAGCAGCCACTAATACTTCGGGAAGAGGAAAAGCATCCGGGAGTCCCGGGCTCACAATTTCACCCAACAAGGCATCCCCGGTGCACGAGCTGTGATGGAAAACAGGGATTATCACGCAGGAGTAGGTGTTTGTAATGGAGGGGATGCTCCAAAGCCTGATTTTATTTTCCCCTCCCTTTATTTTTCCGGGTGGAAACTAGGTTTTTTGCCGCTCGCAAGCCATGCGCGCGCCCAGCACGCTTGCCTCCCCCTCGGCGCGCTTTGGCAGCCCCGGGGCTCCTCCCGCGGGCTCTTATCTCCCGTAATCCCCCGGTAAGAGGCCTTGCTGCTTGTTATGACACCCGGAGAAAGCGGGGGAGAAAGCGCCATTCTTCAGGCGCAGCCCCGGCCGCGGCGCTGAATGGGGGGCTTTTTTGTGCCTCGGTGTGCCTGACTAATTGAGCTGAAGGACTTGCGTCTGGAAGGGCTTGAAAGGGACTTTTGTTGCCCGCGACGGAGTTTGTGGAAGGCGAGCGAGCCGTCGCTCGCTCGGGCAACTCTGACGCGCTCTCGCCTTCCCTGGGAAAATCGGCATGGGGATGGAGCGGGGAGGGGGAAAATCATTTGGACCGCCGAATGGGGCTTAGCGGGGGTCTGCGGTGCGGGGATGCGGTGCAAAGCGGGGAGCGTTGGCTGCTCCTGCTGCCGTCGGGGAGATTCTTGCGCTCGTGTCGCCTCTTTGTTCCTTCCCGCTCGGCGGCGCTGGGAATCTCCGCTGTAAAATTCCAAGGTGGTAAAAACTGTGTTTCTCATCAGGATGGGCTGGAAGCAGTGCTCGGAGAAAGGCTGGCCTTGTGGTGGTGGCATTTGATTGACTTGTGAAGGATTGAGGTCCCCGTTTGTGGGAATGGGGCATCTTGACCAGGATGCACCAAAATGCCCCAAAACAGCATAAAAATCCAGTTGTGGTTTCCTTTTTTTTTTTTCCCCTCTTTTCATTCCTTTGCCTCCATCTTTCCCCCTTTCAGCACTGGTGATGCTTGTTTAGCAAGAATTACCATCAATGCTGCCAGAATCCATTGCACTCCTTGCACACACAAGCGTGTGCCATTTGGCAGTGGATTTCTAATGCAAAGCAATTAAGATGTTTTGGAAGGTGGATTTTCGCTGGGGCAGGAATGCAAAGCAGGGGAACGTGCGCGTTATCTCCAGCGATGGAGATCTGCAGGACGAAGAGGTGCGAGGCAGATCGAGGAGAGGGAAAATCACAGCAGATCTTTGTGAAACAGGTGTAAAATGGCATATATATAAATAAAATGTGTATGTGTGCATGTGTATATATATTTAGTAATATATGTGTACATAAAAGCATAGAAAGCAAAAGAGGAGAGCAAATAGGAAACTCATTAAAAAAAAAGAAAAATCTTTTAGTGAAAATGTTGTCTAACTCTTATTTTTGGGACAGTGCAAGGGAGATCTTAAACTTCTCCTTTTGTCCCATGCTAGAAACTCCAAACTTGTTCTTCTTTTGGGCAGTCTCGAGCCAATGCTACTGCCTGTGGAGCCCCAGGACCGGCTCCTACCTCAGGTACCTGCTCCCTGGCCCAGGTTATGTCTGTTTTGTGCATGATCAGTGTGCTCGCTGGAGAAGTTTGCATGATGCTGCACACTAGCTACAAGCAATGAGGAGCACTTTGCACCTCACTGGGCAGCCCAGCACACACAGCCTTCTGTCCCCCTTTTTCTTTTTCAATTGCTCTAATTTCCCTGAGTTTGGCAACGATTTAGTTGCTTTCTGGAATCGCCAGCAAGCTTGGAAATTGAACTTAGAAATCTAGTGATGGGCACTGCTGCCAGGAGCACAGCAAAGCGAGGAAACCAAATCGCTGATGAGCATAATCAATATAATCAATAGCAGCATCCATGTATGGACTCACGCAGTGCATTATTCGTGCATTTGTCTGCTCCCCGAAATATGCGCCCACTTTCTTTTCAGAAGTGCAATTTTATCTTGCTGCAAAATTTTTCAATGGGAAGAGAAAAGAGGACTGGGTGGGAGCACAACCAGAATTGCTGCTGGGGCCCTTTGGCTTTGGCCTTCATCACATTGCTGCGCTGTCCTCTTCCTCTGCAGGACCGTCTGTGCAGCCAGCATTGGGGGGAAACTTATATAATTTCCTTCTCAGTGCAAAATGTCCCAAATGATGCACAGAATACGGGCATGTTTTCTCACATTTCTTTGCTACCGATGTCCAGGTTGGGTTTACAGCGGGTTTTTAATGCAAAACCTGCATTTAAACCTCCCTTTAAGCCCTGCTTTGTCTCATCTCCCATTGACATAGCTAAGGAAGGTCTCCTGTGCCAATGTTTTGGGGTTTTTTTTTTAGGGTGTTTTTGCTTTTTAAATTTATTTTATTTTCTCATGTTTTGCTCTATCCAAGGCCTTGTCCAGCCCATCAACAGGGAGAAAAGCCAGGGGGGACAAACAGAAAACCTGTGCAATTTTTCCTTGCAGCGTTGCACTCTCGCGTGCGAAAGAGTTAACCCATTAGCAATGCCGAGCCCTTCTTCCGATAGTTAGGGCTGATTTGCATGCATTTGCATAATGAATGTCATTTGCATTCCTGGAGGTTGGCTACTTCTGTGGGAAAAGTCAAAGCAGGAGCGCGGGGGGGGGGTTCAGCGCCGAAAACTGGGTGGATGCTCCCTGCACTCCCTGCCGCGATACCCCTTCCTGACACACAAAAGCCACTGGCACCTAGGCCGCTTCCCCCCTTTTCCCTTTTCCTCCCCATCATTTATTTTCTGTTTTTTTCACCCTTTTATTTTTGGTAGATTTGCTCCATCAATTCCACCTTAGCCCCTTTTCCCCCATGCCCTCCGCTCCTGGTAGGGGCATTCGTGATAGAATGGGAGCCAAAAGGGGAGCAACAGGGGAAAAAAAATTAAAAAAGGGGAGAAAAAAAAAAAAAAAGGAAAAGAAGAAAAAGTGGGAGCCACCATTTTAGGCAGCCGGCATGTGTTAAAATGGCCGATGCTGTTCCCGGGGCCTGGCAAGGTGCCGGGAGCTGGTGGCATTCCCGCTACATCCCCGCTGCACCCCGGAGTGTCCCTGCTGCATCCCTGAGCATCCCTGCAGCACCTTTGGATCAAGACCTGGCTCAGGTGCTGGTGCCCTTTTGCTCATTTTTTTTTTTCCCTCTCCCTTTGGGTGGCTGGGATTCCTTTTTTTTTTTCTTTTTCTCCCCTTTTTCCCCCCCCTCTTTTTTTCCCTTTTTTTTTTCCTTCTCACCCTCCCAGCGGGGGCAAGAGCGGGACCCCCCGGACGTCGCTCGAGGGAGCATGGGCTCCATGCGGCCTGGCCTAAAAGAAACCCAAAGAATAAACTTTGAGGGCATTTGAAATGTATTTAAAATTATTTAATTGCAATTTTTGCAGGGGAATGATTTCAAGCACAATTGTCTTCATAAAATAAAATAAAATAAAATAAAATAAAATAGTATAGAATAGCTAGTGGTAAGACTAAACGTAGAGCTATTGGGGCTCCAGGGCTCAACCCCGGTTTCATTCAATGAGATTTAGTCTTATTTTTTGTAGACTGCAGTAATATTAAGAAAATACCTTTTTTGGGGGGCGGGGGAGAACTAGAAAAAATGCAACATATTTGGTTTTCTGTTGTTGATGAGGGTATTTTTTTCTTTTTTTGGCTTTTTCGGGGAAAACAGAGTGAAGCGCAGCTGAGCTCACACCCAGCTTGTGCCCCATTTGGCCTGGGAAAAATCAGTGCAAATCGATATAAAATGGCACTGTATATAAAATTGCCCTAATGAACCTAGGCAGGGTATTCATTTTACCATAGGATTGCAACACTGGGAGGGATTTTAGCTGAAGAGCCAGGTGAAGCCCACAAAGCGGGTTGTCTTAGGGCTGTCCCGTTGCTTTTCCCCATGCATCTTCATCCTGCGCCTTCAGGACCTGGGAAGGAGATCTTATTCTGCAATGTGCTTTGGCCTGCAAATGAGAAATACTCTCTTCAAGCTTGCAAAAATGCACTAAGGCTCTTAGCTATGCAGCTAAGCTGTGTTGCTGTAGCCGGCGCTGCGCTCCTTGACTTGCAACCATTTGGGCCACATTGCATGGATTTTGGCTTGGGAAGTTCACGAGTGGGGCTGGAAAGGGGTGAGGAACTCTGGATGATCCCGCTGTTCGGATTGGATTCTCCTTGGCCTTGTACTGTGGGTGCATATATATATATATGTGTGTGTATATATATATATATATATACACATATATACATAGTATTGCTTTGGGTTTTTCTTTCTCGTGCCCAAGGCACCTTGCTGGCCACTAACTTGCTCAGTCTGTCCAACTCCAGGGATTTTTTTCTAGCCATAACTTCCATTATTGCTGAAAAATATCTCCAAAATGCTCAAAAATGTCATTTTCTTGCATCCAAGGTAACAAAAAGCATCTTGTTTTTCTTTATTTTTTCCGTCAAGCCCAATGTTTGTGGGAGAGGGTAATAGAGGCGCTCTTGTTGCTTTTGTCTTTAATCCAGGTTATCGAAGCGGAGCTGGCAGTGGCAAATCCCTAGAGGCAACGGAGCCACCGGCAGCGTCTCCCTGTGCCGGAGCCCGAGGAGCCCCAGCACACTCGTGCCTTTCTCCTCCTCTTCTTCCTCCTCGCTGGCCATGAGCGTCCCAGTGAGGATGCGTGGGGCTTCCATGGGAGTCTAGATCACAGAAGCGAGTGCCAGGGAGGGGCTAATGTTTTTTGGGGGGAATCCTCGCGATTTTGGGGAAGGCGGAGGGGATCTTGGGCCAGCGCAGTGCTAACGAGGCCCAGCTGAGCGGCAGCCGATGCACAAGCTCGGCTTTGTTTCAGGACAGCACAAAGCTGTCATTGTGCCGGCAATGCGGCCATGGCCACATTATTCAGCCCAAAAAAAAATAGAAAAAAAAAATTAAAAAAAAAAAATAGTGAGAGAGAGAGAAAAGAAAGAAGCGGGGAGGGCCCAGGAGGCGACCCAACAAGGTGAAGAGGTTTAAATCAGCTTAGTCCAAATGCCAATTAAAACTCAAAGAGGATTAGGCTTGGGATCGGCAGAATAGACGGTCATTGTAGCCTGGTGAGGGGTCCCCCCTGCTCCGGTGCCACCTCGACCACGCTTGTGGTCCCTCCATCCACCTTTGCCTCCTGTTTCGGCACGGCGGGATGCAGCAGTTCAATTGCGCGGCAGCAGGCCAAGGTGCAGGTTGAAGCTCGTGCGCACTTGGCAGGACTGGAGGTCCATCTTGGATTGATCTAGGATCTCCCTGGGGTCCAAATGGTCTTGGAGCTCTCCAAGAGGTGCCCTTGGATAGGGTCCCTGTGCCAGGAGGAAGATGTCCCCTGATCAAGGCTCGTAGCCTGAGCGCATGGTCAGCAACGGTGTGTGGAGGATGCTGGTGAGAAGGCCAATGTTGGGTCCCAAGGGTCTGCCCAGGAGCTCGGGGCAGATCCATCCCCCCCTTCCCTTGTAGTCCCCTTGAAGAACTTGCAGCTGGACTGCCACCTTGGATGCCAATGGAGAGCTTCCTCTGGATCCGCTCGTGCTGAGCATTGCAGGGAAGTACACGGGACATCCCAAGGGCTTCCCTTCCAGCACAGGAACATCCCAAGAGGACTTCTGCCACCAGGACCACCTGGGGACTACCTTTCAGTGCTTTCCATTCCGTCCCACACCTCGATTTGGGGTCTCGAAGGTGAAACTGGAGACACGAGTGAGGACGACGCGGGTCCTTGCCCATGGGAACTCGGAAACTCATGCTGCTGTAGCTTGCCCTGGCTGTGAGCATCCCTTGACACGCACCAGCGACCAGGTACCTCCTGGAATGGACATTTTGTACTGATATGGTGACTTTTATAGCCTCAAAGCATCTTCATATCGCACTGGCAATGTGAAAATTGACAATTTTCCACTAACTTTGAGGTTTCTACGTCCTTGTGGGTGGAGAGGTGCCAAGAGTGCCCAGGTACAAGTCAAGTGCGCGGAAGTTGTCCAAGGGACATTAGGAGCTAATCTGGGCGACACTTTCCCATATCCCTCGCCTCGGTGCAGGTTCCTGGAGTTTTGATATTAACTCTATTGATGTTGTTTGGGTTGACAGCTCCATCCGAGTCATGTCTCCCTTGGACCATTCTGTTAAGGAAGCCCAAGCGCATCTGGGATCAGCTGGGAATTCTGGATTTGCTCGGAATGGAGGGGAAAACAAAAACATAAAAGGCCTTTTGGCTGAAGAAGGAGGAAGCATCTCACCTCCAGCAGCAGGAGCCATTTATCCCTGTCTCCTGGCACGCTCAACGTAGAGCGAGCTGCAGCGTGCGGAGCATCCTCTATCTGCTCCCAGGAAGGGTGCCGGCTCATTTCCCAGCTCGCGGAGCACCGGAGCCCCATTCCGCCTGGGAAAGACGTCGCGGCAGAGCTTCTCGTCCTCGCCGCGGTGCTCGAGGCCGCCGTGGACGCCCGGCGGTGGCCCACGGGGAACAAACCCCGTCCCCTTTTGTGCTCGCCGCCTAATTTATGAGAGGAGCCCGCGGCGCTTTGTCCGGCGCGGCCGCGCCGCCGGGGGCTTCGCCTTCCCTTCCCAGCCCCCCGCCGGGGCCCTGCGCTGTTGCTATGGGACCCCGGCACCCATTGGCAGCCCCCCGGCCCCGGCGACGTGCCGAGGGCCTGGGAATGGGGCTGGCGGCCCCTCCAAGTTCACGGCCGGCCTGGGCTCCATTCTCCCTCCGCCTTTCAGCGCCGCCGGGTGCCCCCCTTTTCCCGGGCCTTTCTCCCGCTGACAAGCGCACACATCAATAAATTACCCCCCCCCGTGCCAGTGCGGAACAATCTGTCCCCGAACCGCTATTCAGCATCAGACAGGCCCCATTATTCCCCCGCTTAAAGCCGCTGGAGTAGCTTGCAAGGGTTACAGTTGCTCTGTCGCACTGTAAATAAGACGCTCCAAATAAAAAGGGAGCGAGCGCGAGAGCGCGGCGAGCGCGCCGGCACCGGCGGGAAGGAAAGCCAGACTAATGCCTGCTGCTAGGGAAACGGAATGAATCCCTAATGTGTGCAAACCGGGGAGGAAAAGGGGGAGCCGCGGCCAAGGGCAAGCTGCTCACGAGCAACGGTGAGCTGCTTGTGAGCAGCAGCGAGCAGCCCTCGGAGGGCTTCTCCATGGCTTCCCTTCAATGATGGATGAGACCTCCAGGCTTGGAAAACCTCCCCGTGGCACTTGGGCCATCCTTGGCACCGCAAAGCTGTGGATGCTCTGCCCCAGAAAGCGATCGGCGGATGCTCGTCTTGGGCTCGTCTACTCTGCGTGGACGTCAGAGTTTTGTGTTGCTCGTGTTCAGGACACCTCGGACTAGATATATCCCCCACAAAGTGCCTTTTCTCCTCTGCGTTACTGTGTTAATGCTCATTTTTGCTAGCAGAAGTCAAATAGCAAAGGTCTTTGCATGCCTATGCATGTATAATTTTAAGTATCACAGCAAGCTGTGCCCTTAATGCCGAATCTGAAGGATTTTTCAGGAGCTGGACTTGCCTGGAGCACCTTTGGGTCAAACTTGGGCTTAGCAGAATTCTTCTTTCTCTGTTTTAGGAGAAAATAGACTTTTCCTCAGCTGGCTCCTGTGAAGCCGCATGATTTCAAATTTCCGCGACATCCTTGGGGCTGCACGGTTACATGCAAAATTCCAAAGAGCATCTCCGAGTGTCCCATCACCGTCCAGCTGCCCTGGCTGCACGTGTGGATTTGCTGCGTGGCAAATCCTGGGAAAAAAACCTGGCACACTGCTGTGCATGGAGGTATCACTCATGCCAGCTTGTACCCAGCCGGGACTGAGCTAAAAGTTGTTTTGCCTTTGGGAATTGAGAATTGGCCACCTGTTGTAAGGGGGAAAAGGGATATTAAATAGCATGATGGCAGTTCAGAGAAGACCTCAGGCTGCTATCTCTTTGCTTAGGATTTTTCCCTGAACACCCTCCTGTTTTTCTCTCTAGGACACCTACCCTAGAAGCCTCTCCCAGATGTGCCCAGGCTGCTCAGTAACACTTGGTGTCGGGTTGGCGCTGCTTCCAAAATGCTGCTCCGGTGGCTTTTCCCGGATTAAGATGAGACAACCACTTGTGTTTCGATTTAATGCTAAATAACCTGATTTTGAAGGTGTTTGCTAGCACACAAAACATGCATGTTTGCATTAATAACCAGGTAGCTTGCATGGCTAAATCACTTATTTTTTTAAAATTATTTTTCATCACAACCCCCTTTTACCGCATATTTAGATGCTTCCCTGCAGGCTCCTGTAAGGGCTTCATGTGAATAAATATGTGTATAGGTCCAGAGGAGATGTCACTGCAACCCCCTGGCAACTCCTGCTCCAGCAATGGCATTGGAGACATGGAAAAGGGACGTCAATGCTATATGTATACATGTAAATGCTATAGGTATACATGTATACATATATACATAAATATATATATATTTATGGCATCAAGTGGAGTAATTAAGTAGAGCTAGTTTTGGTGACTTCAAACAGGGTTGACTCGAGGAAATAAGCCCCTTCTTTATAATTAGTGGGATTTCCTCTGCATCAAACAGGGAGCTTGCAGCTTTAATCTGCTCACATGCTTTTGATTTGGGCTCTCAGTGCCTTGTACCGACTGCTTCCCCTCCTCTCCCTCACCCATAAAACCTCACAAAGGAGCTTTGAGGAAGGCATGACCTGAGCTGAGGTCTAGGATTTTCGTTGTGTGTGGTGGTTTGGGGTGTTTTTCTAATTTTCTGGAGGTGACGGCAGTGATGGTAAGAAAAATAATAGAGATTTTTAACGTCTGTGGAAGTTTGGGTCAAATATGCACTTTTTTTTGCTGTTGTCACTTCCTCTTCTGCCTTTCACACATGGCCACATGGCCAAGGTGGAGGTTTCTTCTTCTTCTTTCCTTCTTCTCAGGAAGGATGAACACGGGCTCCTCCGTTCCCCATGCCACCCAGCCTCAAATCGCTCAGATCTTGAGTTTTCCCCCAAAAGCAGCCCCGGGAAGCAGGTGGACACCCTGGGGGGTGCAGGCGAGGAACAGCAGCTCCGCACGCTCCTCACGGGCTTTTCCTCCTCCGAACTCCGCGCCGAGCACGGATCGTGTAATTAGGGCGCCGGTGAGGACGTCACCGTGCAATTATGCAAATGGGGCTGAAAATCACTGTTTTCAGCAGAAACGTCTGCGGAGCAAGACAGGAGCTTCGCGCAACCGTCATTGAATCAGGTCCTGCAGGTCCTGCAAGCCCCGTGATCACAGTAGCATGGGGGCAAACGGGCGAAAAAACAGCGTAAATGGGAGTGCCGGTCTTTCCAGCGCTTTTCCTCCCTTTATTTCGAGTCGCAGATGAAGAACATGAGGTTGGAAGGAAGAAAAAAGAAGAAGGGAAAAAAGTCAGAAAGTCTTCAAAGCTGGGAAATCGGTGTTAATTGCCTATGAGTGTCTCTGTCTCCAAAATTATCAAATAGATGTTGTTGTGCATTTTTTTTGACAGCCTGTCTGTTACTTTTTTTTTTAAATATTCATGCACAGAAATCTAATTACTAGGCAAATTTAATGATAATGAAATGAAGGCGCTTTAGCAGAAAGCACAAGGCCTTGTTAATGTTTTCTCAGTCTCTGGATTGTTCGTGTTTAATTTTTTTTTTTCCACAACTGCCTTTCTTGCATTAAAATAAAAAAAAATTGCCAAAAATAAACCTTGGATTGCTAAAAATGTTTGTGGTGACTCTGTTCGTAATGATGGGGAATTTGCAAGGTGATTAAAGCTGTTTTGAAAAAATCAAACGAGCCTAACCTAATCAGATAAGGCAGATGAAATATTATTATTAGAGAGGAAGTGTTAAGCGCGTGTCTGGAGGCCTTACCAAAAACAAGGGCCTTCTTGCTGTAGGCAATGAACATGCATGGAGGCCACGGTATGCTTGTCCTCCTCCAGCCCCTTTTCCCAAGGCAGGTATCCTTTGTGCTCTGCTGCCTTCCATAAGCTGGGCTTAGCTGGGCCGAACGTGCATGCAATGGATGGCGGGTGCACATGGTAGATGGAGCTCCCAAGCCTGATTTTCTCCCCAGAAAAGCTATTTTTTCTCCCCAGAAAAGCTATTTTCTCTCCAGAAAAGCTATTTTTCTTTGTGACTTGTATGGACACGAGTAAACCCAGTGGGTCCAGGAGATCCTGAGGACGAACCATTAGAGAGCCGGACACATTAAGTACCACTCTGAAGTTGCGAGCTCTTTGCTCCCTTGACAAAGACCAGAGATGCTCGTTGAGCTCCATTTATCTGCCAAAATGACAGGTTCCTCCTAGAGAGCCAAACCTCGGCTTTGTGATTATATTTGTCACTAATTTCTTTTGCCAGCGTGTCGACACCTTTGCACAGTGGCATAAAATGAGGCGGGTCTCTGGCTTGCTCAGGGTGAAGGCAACTCTGAAAACATCTCTAAAAGTCACGTTTTATCTGGGGGAATGTCCGTGCCATCCAGGAATGCTGCCTTGCAGCCCCAAACTCTGCTAATTCAGTGCAAATTGGTGCAAAGAGGGGGCAAGCGAGCAGGAGAGCACCTGCAAGAGGGGCGCACACGAGCTCCAAGAGGGTAAAAGGTGCTCTTGGCTTCTTGCATTTCTCTGGGGTTGCAAGAGGGGAAATTTGGCCCTCTTATTTATTTGTTTTCCAGCTTGGCAGGGGAGAAATTCCCAGGAGGAATCAGTTTTCCCCACAACCAGAAATAACCCATTGAAACAACGGGGCGGATTGTGCCGCCAACTGAAAACCACCGGTCCTGGCCAAGAAAATATGTGCGGCATTAAGCTAACATTTGCATCGCAATAATGCTTTATTAAGCACATTAGGAGATTAAAAGAATCGACCCATTTGTTCCCATTCACGTCGGGCTGGGATTTGCATTTCTTTCTTCCCCACCTCCAACTTAGCCCCTTGCTCGTTTGTTTGCTCCCGGCTTGCTCTGCAAATCGTTTTCTCGAGGAAAACCTTGCAAAAATCTTCTCCCAAGGAAGGTGTGTGCGTGTGTGCAGAGGGTTCCCCCCTCCTTGTTTTTCCTTTTTAATCAAATCACTTGACTCGCCGGCGCGTTTGTCTGCCCAAGCGCACAGCAGAGGAGGGGCGGCACGGCGAAGAAAAGGGCTGTCTGCTCCCGTTTCGGCTAAAACGGTTAATTAAGACAATAGAGGCTCTATAACAATCGAGGCCCGGGCTCTGAATGCTTGTCTAGACTCTATAGTCCGCCGACAAGTTCTCCGTCGGAATTTTAACTTGGCCAGGCTCCTTTCCCCTCCCCTCTT